TAAAAGATGTTGGCAGTTTTCCTTTATCTGTGAACTTTCATTATTCATATAGCACATCTGAAAATCTAAAGCATATAAAGCAAATAAATTTAGTCAACATGATACTACTTTATATGGTCAAGATAAAGTATCAGGTTTTTTTCTAAGTAACTACTGATGGAATTTAAAGAGGAGAAACTTCTGTCTCCAAAAATTTCCAGGAAGGTTTTTGAGTTTTTCACGCATCAATTCCAGAAACTGTCCCATTATTTTCACGTTAAAAGACAATATCATTTTAATTATACCAATTAAATGCGTTTGAAGTCCTGGTAAATTATTTCTTTATAGCATTGGTTGTATGTAGGATTTCTTCTTAGTGCCCAAAAGAAATGACGTGTAGTTGGATAAAGATTAGTGGTTTTTTACTTCCTCCCCAAAAGAGTTGATGTTTTTGGCTGGGGTGTGTGTGTGTGTGTGCGTGTGTGTGTATGTGTATGTTTGGAGGGGGGAGATGTGAGAGAAGAGATAAAGCCTGAATATAGAATTATTCAATAGGCCTAAACTAAAATTCTTCCTTGACTGATGAGGCCGGGGGAGGAGGGGGGGGCTGGGAGAGAGAGGTGAGCTGGAACAATTGAAGTGTAATAATATATCTGTGTAGTTTTTAAAAATGTACAAACTGTCCTCCCGTCCCCGGTCCCTCTCCCCGTATGTGCTGGTACCTCTGGACGGTTCAGAAGCCATTTTAGTACTCAGGAAGCAAAATATGTGAGTTCCACTTGTGCTTTTGCAGGTGCTGTGGTGGCAAGGATAACCTTTGCTCTCTTGCCAGGTGTGTTATTTAATGTCTTTGAGGATTAAAGACAGCACTGAAAATTCCAAACCCACATCCTAACACCTGAAGCTCGCACAGTGTTTCTATAGCAAATGGCAAAACATTTCACTGGAACCTTAATTTACCAAGTCTATATCCAGATCTGGGCAGTTTTTATTCTTTTAAGGCTTCGCTGATAATCCATACAGTACTCAATTTTTTGAAACTATTCCGAATTGAAAAACAAGACCCCTTCTAGACGTTTTGCGCACCCCAGCCCTACAATTCTCGGCGTTTCAGGCTGAGGGTCTTCAGAATTGAAAGTGCATTTTCAGTCCTGGACGTCTAATAATTTATGGGGGGAAAGGCAGAAACATAGGGCAACTTTCCGAATGGTCTAAGGGGCTAAGAAGTCAGAGAGGCATTTGCCTCTTCGCAGTTGGACGCGAGGCTCAGCGCCCGGCTGTCCTCAGCTGTCATGGGGGGAGGGGAAGGGAGTGCGGGCTTCGACTGGGGGCACTGAGTTGCACCAGCCGCCCCGCTGCGTCCCGCCGCCAGCTCACCTCGGCAGAGAGCTAGGCACTCACCGGCCCGCTTGCCCCTGCTCCCACGCTGCCCTCAAGCCCCAGTCCTCAGGCACAGGTCGCCCGAGCCCTCCAGTGGGATGGCTGCCGCCTCCTCGGGGACTGCTGCCTGAGGGCCAGGACCCGGGCGGGGGGGCGCTGGACGCCGAGGTAACCCGCAGCTCCCGGGGCGCTGCGGCGGCGGCCGGGAGGCGCCGGAGCCCGCTCCCCCTCCCCGCCCCCAGCTCCCGCCTCCTGCCCGCTGCGCCGTGCGCCAGCTCGCCCCAGCCGGCTGGCGCGGCAGCGCACACACTCACTCCGAGGGCGCCTCCAAGGTTACCCGCGGGGTGGGGGCTGGGGCCGGCTCCGGCCACTGTCCTCTGCTGCTTTCCTATCGCCGCAGCCCTTCTGCCGTTCCTGGGCCACCAGGATCCAAGCCCCAAAGCAGAAGACGCTCCAAAGTCCGGAGAGGGAAGTCAAGCTGGGAGGCAGGCAGGCGTCTGGGCTGGGGGCAGCCTTAGTTGGCTCCCGGTGCCAGGACAGCCGGGTCAGGCGAGGTCGCGGCAGGAGGGGGCTGTGGCTCTGGCGGGAGCGCTCTGTGCCCGGCTAGCTGGGCCCGGGGCAGTGCGCGGGGGCTGCAGGCAGCACCGAGGCGCCCCAGGCGCCCCGGGCCGGTAGGGGGGCAGAGACAAGCGGGCGGCCAAACCTGCCGAGGAAACTAACTAAATAAAAGGAGACTGTTATTTAAGGCGCGGAAATTTGAAATATTTGGACAGGAAGAGAAAAGAAAAGAAACTTTAGAGAGGGAGGGGGAAAAAACGCGAGCTAACGGTTTTGAAGCGTCCCCACCCCCACCCCGGGCTGTTCTGCGCGCCCTGAGGGAGCTCTGGGCTCCAGCTTCCTCACTACTGCTTTGGGGGCTGGAGCTGGAGTCTGGTGAAACAGTTTCAAAGGGACAGAAGGGATGTCTTCGCAGCCCCTCGGTAGAGAGCTTAGGTTTGCTATGTGCAGAGCTTTATCCCGGGTCTCAGGCGTGAAGTTTGTCTCCTGCCTGTCACTAGGTTCCTGCGTGGATCTGTTTTCATGGAACTGCTGCGTAAAAGCAAAACAGTCTCCAGAGACCAAGACAGGGACTTTCCCCCCGCGCCTTTTGACGAAGGTTGCTTAGGGCAGTCAGGAAGGCTTCGAGGACGACCCTTTCTTGCTCCAGCACTGTGATCTTCCAGCGCTCTGGATTATTCTACCCCCGGTAAAAGCCGAAAGCACCTTTTTGGGAACTGAGATTTCGAAACCAGTCCTGACCCACGGATTCGACAACGTTCATTTGATCAATAGGACGAGGGAAATTTGTCATATTACCAAGTGACTTGCTTTCCCATGACAGAATACTTTATCTGTATATTAATTAGTCACCCAGTGTGTGGGTGTGCATGAACTCATCACACCCATTGCGAGATGCATAATGTTCATCAGAAAACTATTAATTCACTACCGAAATATGATAAAAGGTACTGTGCTTAGTGGTTCAAGGGCCAGAACATGGACTGAGGTCCTGTTAGTGCCTCCCCTCACCCCAGGTGTAAGCTTGGCTTCAGCTTACTGGCCAAAGGCTGAGCCTGTGTTTCCCGATGTGGATGCGGTCGCAGTGAAGAACTGAATTTGAGAGCACCATGTCTGCCTGGTATCCTCCATCCTTACTATAGCGTCTTCCCCTGGGGCTCAGGGCACTCTATTAACTAGCACTTGCTCCCCACTCTCTGCATCTGAATAAGTTTAGACTCCACCCCACCTCAGTTCACTGCAAATTAGACTCCATTACACTCAGCAACACCGTTTCTTCCGTCCTATACATTTCGGCATATTCAAGAGTCTTACTGAATATTGTCGAGGTTTTTGAGAGATTGAATAATGGCTTTTCATATTTCCTAGAGGGGACCACACAACTCATTTCTAAAATACTTAGATTAACAAAGCTACTTCCCGCGGAGAGCCAGAGTAATGTGACAATGTTTTAATATTTAGCAAATTTTAGGCTGATGAAAAGATAGAGCTTCCTCTCCCCCTGTTGTGCTACGACCACCCGAGAACAAAGCAATTGCAGTTCTTTTCTTTTGCTTATGCAATCTTTAAAGGGAAGTTTTACTTTATGAAATAAAGTAAATGCTGAGACATGCTGGATACTATAAAGTCCATTAAACTGGATTTTAAATTCAGAAATGTCCATCTTTACAGTTGCAACTTGTAAGAAAGGTTGTTTTTATTACTCTCAGTAATAGTGTATTTAAAAACTATTCAGCTAAGGTAGTATATTTTGCATATTGTCTCTTTTAAAATACAAAATACTTTTTTCTTCAAAACCATCTCAATTACTACTTCTTTCTTTTTAAAAAAGTGTTTTAAGTTTAATTTTATGTTACCATAAAAATTTATTTAGTAACTTGTGGTTAAAGATGACAGAAGTCAAAATCTTGTTGCACTTAGAGATTGTGAATTTTAGTGCAAAATGAAAAGGTTTAAACTTTTCCTCCTATATTCTTTTATACTATCATGAAAAATAAATTATTGAAAACCACTGCCTGCAACCATTCCAATCCTTCTTAGGGCAGGCTTCAGAACCATGTCCTTCAATAAACCTCGAAGTATTTTGTTCTTTTTGGAGCAAGGGCAGAGAGCTTATGAAGGAGAAGGAGGGAACTTTCACATAAAACATCTTTGATCATGTGGGAGATGATGAATAAAGTATTTATAAATTTAGATAATCTTTAACTAAAATGACAGCGTTAGCAATAGATGATGGAAAATCCTCTTGGGAATTCGATATTTCTGTTTCCTTCAAAAAAGTTTTTTATTTTTTTTTATTTTTAGCTAAACATGTTCCTGAAAAGATTTTATACTCCTTTACTAAAAAGTTCTGAGGAAATTAAGTACCATTATGTGGGAGTGGCTTACTTATTATTGTACAAGTTACTACATTTATTGTTCTGCAGATCCTAAAATAGTTATGGACTTTATATATAATTTTTACATTTTTTTCCTTGCTGAGTTTTTCACCCCCTAAAAGTTGGTATTATATTTTATTTAATACTTAAACATTTTATAATTTTACATTTCTGGCATTTGGAGAGAGAAAGTCAATGTTCTACTTAGTGTACTTATGTTATAATTTTGGGAAGTGTATTGTTTAACCAATTGTTTCATTTTGTGATTAAAAATCAATTAATGGGAAGCACTTTTAATGTGGCATTTTCTTTTAAAACTGGCTTTTAGAGCTAACATTAATTTGTTTTCAGATTGCTACTTCTGAAACCTGTCCTTCAACTATTTGACTTAACTTTGAGAAAAAGGGAAGACTGAACATTAGGAGAAGTTCGCAGTGAAATAATTTCAGGTTTGATCTTCAAAAACTGTTGTCCTTATTCTGTTTTAAAGCAGAAATACTAGGCACCAAGTAAAATCTGAGGTGGGGAATATGGGGACAGGAAGAAAAGAATAACTGAATCATAAAAAGAATATGTCTAGTTTTCCATTTGGTCTACTTTTTCCAATGTCAAGACTTAAAACATCAATGAACTTTTAGTACAGTTCTCCTTAGGAAGTGGCAAGTTGTCTGTGGGTTATAGAGTGAAAATCACAGAAAAACGTTGTCCTGTTTTGAAAAAGTGTTTTAATTAGGCAAAAGAAGCATCAGGACAAACCATTTTAAAAACAAACTTTCCAAGTTGAATATTGAGATTGGCAAAGCGGGAAGCAAGAAAAGATAAAATATTCAGAAGAAAGCCAAAGCTATTTGCAATTATACATTAGAAGTCAGGATTTTTGCAGGTGAAAAAGATGTTGCTTAAATATATGTGTAAGATGTCCACTTATGCAATTTCAGAAGATTTAACTAGCTGCTTAAAATATGACAAAACTGTATTTTAACAAACGATATTAAAATAGTCATAACAGCCACCAATTAACTAGCAAAGTAGAGACAATGTGGGAAAGCCCTCCCCACATTCATTGCAGATTCGAGGGTCCCCCTGCCCCGTTTGCCTGCATCAGGTTAATGACCTCGTTTCTCCCGTAGAGCCTGGCCAAATCGCAGGCGGTGTCCCCCTTATGGTTCCGATGCCCCACATTGCTGGCCGTGTGCTTCACCAGGAACTCCACCACCGGGAGGTGGCCTTCTTTGGCAGCCAAGTGCAAGGGCAGGTTCCCTTCATTATCCTCGATGTTAACATCAGCTTTAAACTCCAGCAAAGTCTGTAAAGTGTCCAGGAAACCTGCTCTGGCTGCATCGTGAATGACAGCGAAACCAGTTCGGTCTTTCAAATCGGGATTAGCACCTCTAAGCAGTAGTCTCCTGGCAATCTCAGGATTTCCAAGTTTCATAACCTAGAAAAGAAGTAAAAATGGTAGAATCCTTCAAGTGCTCATGCTACAGAAATATTTTAAAATATCTATCTGCCCTTCTATTTATGTAACTATTTATTTTTGATGGAGTGCTTGGGGAAGACCCATAGGATGGAGTTTGAAGGGCTGAGTTGCAGAAAAGCTCTAGTAGGTGAACGTGGAAGAAAACTTCTAAAAATTGACCTTCTATGATGGAATATCTTAAATCGGCCCCAAAGTAGGATAAATTGATCAATAGAACAGAATTTGTGCAGCTTGTATAAAATTCACTGATAACTCAGTTTTCTTATCTCCCATGAAAAGTTACAAAGTTTTATGAATTCATTAAAATAAAAGAAATGGAATTTGGGATTTAAATAAGAGTCTCCTTTTGTTTGCTTGTTCATACTCATAAAATGTGCCTTGGGTATTAATTTTGGAAAATCAAATGTGATTAAAATTTATTTTCTAAATAGGTACAGAAAGCAAATAAGGATGGTGAATTTCTCTAAACCCCAAAACAAGTGTTTCAACACATCTGAATCTATCACTTAGTGTAAAAATTATCTGTTAAATGATATTCTCTGATACTTTCTTAAATGATTAATTTTTATAAGTTCCTTCCAAATAGATATAGTACCAAATTTCCAAGCCTTTCATTAAAATATTTTTTCTTTGCAAGTTATTTAATATTGGTCACTAGTGTACTCAGTGCTTAGAATCTTTCATTTCAAATTACAAAATGTTACTGATTATTAAGGTGTTAAATAAGCAACAGTGTTCTACATTGCGTGTGATATCAATTTATGTAAAAGTAAGTTCCTGATATGCCTTACAGTAGATAGGAAATGATTGTATGGCAACTGTTCTTGAAAAGAATGAAATAGTCATCCTACTATATTAGCTACTACTTCTCAAAGTTCTCACTAGCCCCCTTATTTTCAAGTGAGCAAAAGAAGTAAAAATTAGACATTTAATGAGTGTTTTGGGACATGGACAGTCTTGTCTTGTGGTTTGAGCCCATTTAGTAATCAACTGGTGATCCCATCTTATTTTCTTTGGCAGTTATTATCAAGCATTTAGGAATAGTTAATTGTAAACTGCCAACATTTTAAAAGTACAATGTGGCATTAACATTTGCTATCAACAGACAAATAATTCACATCACAAAAGACTTATCTGTTGTTATTTGAATATATTTCACTCTAATAAGAGGTTGTTATTAGTATCTCATAATTATAAAATATCTTGTAGAGTAGCATACAAGTATAAAAAATATATAATTTAGTTTTAAAAAATATTACTCTCCTTAACATGCCAGAAATTTTCTGCATTTTAACTGGCTTCATTTATTTTTAGGTATATTCATAATAATCTAAATTTATAATAAATAGATAGCTTACATAATACACACTCACACTCAGTGTTTATGAAATTAAATGATAATCTATTGGAGAATACAAAATTGATGTGTTTAAATTATTTTTTGTAAAAATAATCACAAATTAAGTAATATAAAAAATATTTAGAGTGAATAATATTTTGTAAATGCAAACTACAGATGGCCAAGATATTAAGGATTCCCTATTGAACAAAACCTAATTGACTTTTAGCCCTTCTTTTGGAACAGTGGTAAAAAAAAGATACATAATTTATTTTTCAAGAACTTCAATGAAATACACTTTTGGTCATTAAAAATTAATATAATCTACTTTTTGCCACAACTGTCTCTAAAGATTTAGTCACATTTAAGGACCTAGAATGAGAAAAATAAGAGACACCTTGGATCTTTGTAAAGCAAACGTACGATTAAGGCCTTTGGTATTATCCTGATAGAAAAACTCCACTAGGGAGGAAGAAAAAGCTTTTGCAATTGAGTTAAATAAACAATTTCAGAAGTAAATTTGCCTTCTTTTACAGAAAATAATAGCAATATTGGAAATGATTTTGAAGAAAGTTCTTTCTGGAATTATGACATAACTTCAGAGTCAGGATTATGCATACTGAAAATAAGCTTTGAAACTCCTGTTTGTGTGTGTGTGTTTCATTTTATGTACTAGGACTAAGCCACAATAAGTGGGTGTTTGTATCTTGATAAGTATGTTTAATATAAACAAGATTCAGGGTTGTATTAAAAATGTTTGTCAAAACTGTTTTTTTATAGTGTTAATCTCCCAGTCTTCCTGTTCGTCAAAAGTCCTGTAAGATCTTATTCTGAACGTGGGTTAAGTGGCTCATTCTTTGTGAGGTTTATATAATCTTTTGAGTTTTCAACAGGAAACTTTTCAGTATATTAAATTTGTGGAATTGCTATCATCACCAAACCTGTTCAAAACTCCTAGAGAGGAAAAAGGAAAAAAAAAATCCTTTCCTTACTTAATCTACCTGACATAACAAGATAAATAATGTAGTATTTATGCATAAGCTTCCTTAATACTGAAATTTTTGCAAGGCCAGTGTATTCTGATTTAAAATGTACAAACTGTATGGATTTCATCTGTTAATAGTATATGTCCTGCCGCTTAACTTTCAAATTCTTACAGCTGAAACAAAGCCCTCTAAAAACCCTCTCCCCAATAAGTTTTCAAAAACAACTTCAAGTGTTGCATTTCCAAATAAGAATAGCTCATAAGAATGTCATCAGAACTCTGATAAAGCAACTATTTGATACTATTTTGCCATTTTTCTGTTTCTAAGCTTTTCGACTAAATTACATGTAACACTCAGAGGAGGAAAAAAAATTATCAGGTACAATTCTTGGCAGCTGGACACATGTCAATTGTTTCCTGTAAATCTAATTACTGAAAATTAGAGCATACCACGGCATGATCGCAGAGACAAAAACATTGCAGCTAAGCTCTGATTAGAAAATTCAACTTTTAATTCTTTCCCACTCCTGAATGAGTGGATGGTATTACATTAACTGTGAAATGTACATCCTGTCCCGGTGCCCAGGCCACCCATTGCAAACGAGGAAAGGTCGTTTGTCAAAACTTGAAGCATTTGAAGGAAAAACACCCTTGCCAGTAGCCAAGAAAATTAACGTTAAAGTCAATTATTGGGGGCAAAGTACGTAAAACCACTAATAGCTGTGTATTTACTTGAAATAATCATAATAATGTGTTTACAGAGCTGTCTTAGAAAACAAAACAAAACAAACCTCGGCGCTACAATGACTACTTTAAAATCCCCACCGTCACAAAAGCATTCCAAAAATTAAGACCAAACCTGGAACTCACTTGATATTGAGGATGTTATTGGATTTGACGAATTTGTTCAAAGTACGTCATTTTGGGGAGTTGGGTCCACTTAAAGATATAAAATATGGCAACCAACTAGGTTTAAAAACAGTGAAATTTTGTACCACTGAAAGATTAAAAGCTGTCATTCTAGAAACCTGGGTCACGTAGGCAACATTACTGACCTGTTTTCCCCACCTCTCTGAATACCAACCTGCAGCGCAGTCCTTCCAAATCCATTTTGTGCATTGACGTTTACGTTATTTTGCAACAAACTAGTAAGTTGCTCTAGGTCCCCCCTGGCAGCTGCGGACGCCAACTCGTTCCCCCAAGGCTCGGCCATTCTTTAGGGTCCTGACGATCGGGAAAAGATGAATTAGTTGCTTTTCTTTTTCCCCTTTCCTTTGCTCCTAACCAGGCTGCATGATGGCATCGGGACTGACAGAAGGACTGGGATGGTTAATCTGGAGTAGAGCTTGGTAGTAAATACTAGTAAGATCTGCCTGCCAAAAGCCCGCCCCTCGATTCACACGTGATTATTCAGCAAAACTGAGCCATTGGAGAGGGGCTCCTCTCCTCGCTTTTTAGCTTAACCCCTATGAAGAATTCTAGTGATTCAACAGAGAGACACAGAAATACATTCCTGGTTAATTATTGTGGACGTAAGATGTAGACAGAGCTGTCACGTACCTATGCTACAGATCTCAGCGAGGAATGTGTGGAGACTTAAGGGACCAGATCAGGGCAGAAAATACCGCGGAAGAAAAGGCATTAACCCACCCTCGTTCACGGTGGTGACTGGAGCCGCATGAGCCAGAACTGCAGGGGCAGGTCCTCGAAGGGGCTCGGTTTCCATCCGTCTCGCCGAAGGGGTAGTCCTGAGTCCTCAGCTGCTGGGAGAACGCCGCGGTGGCTGGATGCTGACGTGCTCCGGGGGGGTTAAAGATGATCGCCAAAGGCAAACGGGAGTAGCAGTTCCGTGGCCCTCAAGTTACAGGTCTTAACGGCTCCCTAGTGCTCTCGGCTTCTCCAGAGAGCCTTTAGTCACGTCCGGGCCGAGCCGCGGGCTAACGCCGCCCGGGAAGGCTCCGGATCTCGCTCGCCAGGCTGCCGCAGCCCCGCCGAACCTCAGAGGTCGTGGGAGCCGGGCTCGGCGCGCGTTTCCGGAGGCTGCCAGGAGCGTGGCGGTCCCCCAGCAAGCCCGTCATGCCGGCCCTACCAGGTCCCGGGACTCCCGGCAGCCTGAGGAAGGAGGAGAGCGATGCGGGAAGCGTCTATCGGGCCCTGGCCGCTGGCGCAGCTCGCGGCAGCATCGCGGCTGCACAGGGCAGCACTCCCGTAACTTCCCGCCTACGACCGAGCTAGTTCGGGCTTTCTGCTGTAGGTACTCATTGAGCTGCTGCCGCCGCCGCTGTCTTTTCTTTCCTTTCCCGGTTTTCTGGGGTCCTCCGGAGATGGGGAGGTCCTGGGAAGTGCAGGCCAACCTCTGAGTAGGGAAAGTCGCCACAATTCCAGGGCGCAGCTAGTCCAGCCGCCTTCTCAGAGAGAGCCCGGCAGCTTCAGCGCCTGATGCCACCTCGCCAACCTCTCGCGGTCCCGGGCCTGTGCCGTGCCCCTAGCCTGTGCCGCGGAGAGGGCAGCCGCCAGTCAGCTGTGCCCTGGAGCCCAGCCTGGCAGCAAAGCTTCTTCCCGAGCCGCAGTGCTCCCAGTGACAGTTGCTTTTGTAGCTGGTCCCCAAATCGCCAGTCCCTGCTCCTTTCACCCTTACAGACACTTGCGCGTCTTCCCCCTTTCTGCTCTTTTCCTTTCCTCCCTCACTTGCTTCTTTTTTCGCTGAAACAATTGCTGCTTCTGTTGCCTCTCAGAGACGGTGCCGGTTTCTCTCCCTTTTTTCCGACCTCATCAGCTTTTTTTGAAAAGAAAAAAATTGAGCGCTTTTTGAGTTGAAAAACCCGCCCCCATTTTAACGGCAGAGTTTTAAGGAGGCTCGGCGGAGTTGCAGCGCCGCGGGAGCGGGAAGGCTGGGCCCGGCCCACGCTCCGCCCTCCGCCCTGCTGGCGCTCTCGCTCGCTGCCTCGCAGGCTCCGCCCCTTCAGACCCGCTCTCTTCCTCGGGTCTCCTCGCTCCCCACCTCTTTCCCTCAGTCTCTCGCGCTGGCTCCCGCCCGCCAGCCCGGTGGCCAGGCCCCAGCTGGAGCGGGGTTCTGCCCAGCCGAGCCCGGCCTGTCCTCCTTCGGCTGATGGGCGGGCCGGAGTGTGCGACGCGAAACCCCGGGCTGTCCCGAACTCTACTGTTCGGCGCGGGGTTTGTTAATTAAGACTGCTGTGAAAAGCCGCGGGGCCTCAGAGTCTCAGCCTCGCTGGCTGTAGGAAGGCGGAAAGCGAGCGGGCGCAAAGGGAGTCTTCTCCAGTCCTAGCAGGGCAGGTCGGCCTGCCTCCCCGCTCTCCTGCCAGCCTCGAAAAGTTCGAGCGGCCAGGCCTGCGGCTGCCGCCGCCTCCTCTAGGGCGCGCGCACTATGTAAACTTGGCCTCCTCGGCTGAGCGCCGGGCCTCAGCCTCGCACCTGCCAGATCAGCGCCGAGGGCTGCGATGGGCAGAGGTGGCCAAGGGGGTCGGGGAGAGAACCCGACTGATTATAAGCACGGTGCTCAGAAAAAAGCCTTGTATAGACTGAACTTTACGAAAACTTAACACATAGTATAGGTAAGAAATCATAACGAACTCTGAAGCCTTAATGTTCCAAGGACTAAGAAACAGAAATATTCCTATTCTTGGAGGAAAGGAAGAAAAACAATTACTTTTAAAGCAAAAATTAAAATAAGCCTTAGAAAGTGTTTTCTAACAAAGCCACTTCTTTGTTGCCGAAGTTCTCTTCCTTTACTTAGATACGGCTTGGTTTTGAGGGGGTTGGAGGCGAGAGGTGGGGAGGGTTTCTAGATGTAAAGGAATGGTCTCTTTCCTAATCGTTTATTTAATCATCTGACACCAATTCTTTGTACTTTTAACTGCCTCTTTGTCCTATGTGAGATAAAGTAACTACTACTTTCTGTATTTTTATGCTCTTAAAAATATCCAACACGTTCGCATGATGCACCCAGTGGTCAAAATGAAACCAAGCAAAAAATGACAAGTGGTCTAATTAGAACCGGTCTTTGGCAAGCATATTCTCAAGCAACATCTGTACCCTTATCCTTGACGTACACTGGGAATATTAACAACAAAACACATCAGAAACGTCTGGATAATCATCTAGCAACAGATTGGCTAGTAGGTAGAGGGAGAGTTGAAGCTGGGAAGAATCTGGCAATGTTTTCTATAACTGAATTGTAGAGGAAAAAAATAACCAGGGTGCTTTTCTCGGGTAACTAAACTTGAATCGTGAATCAAATGGGAACTACAACAGAAGAAATTAACTCCTCTCTTTCTTCTTACATATATTCAGATGTTTCAAATAGAACATTTAATATTTCATTTATACTGGTAAGAAATAAAAATTTACTTTATTCTGGGAACTATGGAATCTTTTAGTACAGCTGGAGGGAGAGAACTCCAATTTATGAGTTGTTTTTTAGCATTTGTTCTGGTTTTGTACTTAGAGAAAATAGTGTAATGAAGAAGAATATTAAATTGTACTTATTATATAAAGTATGGGTATAAATGTGTTATAATTTCCATGGAATAAAATACTTTGGTGAATAACTGAGTAAATAAAATTTATGATAATTTAAGATGCACACAGAGTCAGATTAATGTGTTTGGAGGTCCTAAGCCCTGAAAAGATTTTGATGCCCTAAAACCTCTTCCTCATATGTAAATAAAAATAAAAATATAGAAAGCCCAAAAATAAGAATAAAAAAGTCCAGCGAAGTTCTGAGTTTTCCCATGATGACGAATTCAGTGCTTTTGTTGACACATTAAATTCTTTGGAAAGTTTTTTTTTTTTTTTTAATTCTTGTTTTGCTGGTGCCCTAAAGCACGTGATTAGTCTGCCTATTGGGTAAACCAGAAATGGCAGCACAGAGGCTACAGTCTTAGTTTAGAGAGCATAAGTATGCATTACAAAGTACCTCTAAGGAAAATCTAATATTTATTGAGTGCCAGTTCAATGAAGTAGATCCAAGGGTGAGTATCTCTGCCTTCAGTAAGCTAATACTCTAACATGGTTTACATGAAAGATTTGAGAGTTAAGCTCTCTATTATATTGAAAGTAGTGGTTTCTCTTTTAACATAGTAGTGCTATGTCCCTCAAATACTGAAATTCGGCCTTTATAGTTGGATATTAAATACTAAGAGTCATGGAAATCTTTTTCTTCAGCAGTTTATAATCCTTTTAAAAGACTTACAGAAATGTGATTTAGTCAAATTATTTTGTGCTTTTCCCTCATTGACCTAAGTGTGCACAGTTTCTGAATGATTAGCTTTTGGAAATGTGTATGTGGTATTTACAATTTCTTTAAATGTTCTCAAAGTCTTCCCCTTTGTGGTATTTATAGGTCAACAGAGGTGAAAAACAGACTGACAACCTCAGGGGGCATTTTTATCACTTTATAATTGTGGCGTTGGCATATTATTTCTGAGATTCAGCAAGCTTTTCCATTTGGGTACTCATACCACTTATGAAAGTCCTTTTGTGGCTGGTCAGAAGGTAGTGAGTTACCTCACTTGATTGTTCACAGTCAGTTACAGATTGAACTCCTTGTTTTAAAAAAACTATTTAAAAAAACTAATAAAATAAAATCCTTTGTAAAGTAATACAAATTAAGGCCCAGTAAGCAACTCAAAAGATTAAACACAATGGCAACAACTAATATTTGTATAGTGTTTCATGGTATGTGTATATATTAAAAATATAATGTTTACATTATTTAATCTTTATAACAGCTCAGGTAAATATGATAGTTAAACCCATTTTTCAGGTGAGGGAATTGAGGTTGATAGAAATTGTGATTTAAACTTAGTTTAGCATCTGTTCTGGTTTCAGTTAAAAAAAATAAAGTCAGTAAGTAGTGAATATAGAATTTGAATTCAGATCTTGGGGCCACAAATCTTTTTTTTTTATTTCAGCATATTATGGGGGTACAGATGTTTAGGTTACGTATGTTGCCCTTGCCCCCCCCGGCCCCCTCCCCCCCTAAGTCCGAGTTTCAAATATGTCCATCCTTCGGGTGGTGCGCATTGCACTCCTTGTGTATGCAAATACCCGTCCCCTCCTCCCTCCTCCCCCCTGCCCAACATTCAATAGATGTTATTCTTATATGTACATTTATGTGTTGATCGGTTAATACCAATTTGACGGTGAGTACATGTGGTGCTTGTCTTTCCATTCTTGGGATATCTCACTTAGTAGAATGCGTTCCAGTTCTATCCAGGAGTATACAAGAGGTGCAATATCACCATTGTTTCTTAAAGCTGAATAGTACTCCATGGTATACATATACCACATTTTATTAATCCACTCATGTATTGATGGAGGGGCCACAAATCTTATGTCTTTTCCATTACTTGAAAGTTCAGCATCAGCCACTAGACTCTTAACATTAAATCATTAGATGAAATATGTGTTTGATTACTTAAGTGTGGATCTAACTGTATAGTAGCATTCATCTTCTCATGAATTAACTTATAAGTGAGAAGTATTTTTTAAAAACTCGATTTCATCTTAACCAAAGCATCAAGGTTAACACTACCAGTCAAATTGATAACATGTGGCCCTGATGTGATGTGATGAGGACACATCACCTCTGTGGTATTATTCTCCCAAATCCATAAACTCAAGTATAAGTCTGAGAAAACATTAACCAATCCCAAATTGAGGGACATTTTATAAAGATTCTGACTCTTCAAAAGTGTTAAGACTGAGAAACTGTCACACATTGGAAGAGGCTAAGGAGACATGACAACTAGATGTAATGTGTGGTATTTCTGTTTTGGACCTTGGAACAGAAAAAGGATATTAGCATAAAAATCCAAATATGGTCTTTAGAATTTAATTAATAGTATTGTAGCAATGTTAATTCCTTAGTTTTTGTGGATATACTATATTTATGTAAGATGGTAACATCAGAGGAAGATGGATAAAAAGTATATGGGAACATTGTGTACTATCTGTGGAAATACTCTCTAAAATAATTTCAAATAAAAATTTCATGAAATAACTACAAATAAGCTTGATTGTTTATATTTGAAAGAAATATGAAATAAAAGTTTCTTTTAAAGGAACATGGAGATTCTAGAAAAAGATCTATATTTGACTTAGGCAGAGCTCCATGAATTATTATACAGTAGACAAACTATGAGACTAGATAGATTAAAATTATTTTTTCTTTGCTTGTGCTTATGGATAGAGAATTTCTCTACATTTCTATTCTCTTTGTTTGTAGCACTTAAATGAAATTGTTTTTCTTAAGGGGGGAATTCTGGAGAAATGAAAAGTGATTTTTTCCTCCTCTCAGTATTTGTTTTCCTCTCCTCCTTTTCTCTGTAGTGGACAATTATTTTGGATTCTGGGTATCAAACTGCAAATAGTTAGGTCATAGGGAAGAAACAGTTTCTTCAGGAACTATATAAACTTAGCAGCATGGAGGGTGAATTGCAGGGAGGCAACAGGATAAGTGGAAAGAACACTAGTTTGACTTAGCCTTGAATCCTAGGTCTGACACTTTGTAACCTCTCAGAGTAGCTTTTTATCATGTAAAGTGGTTGTTGTGAAGATTAAATTAGATAAGGCAAGTAATGTACCTGTACATAGTAGACACACAATAAAAATTAATAAATTTAAAAATATTGACTATTGGGCTGGGTGTGGTGGCTCACGCCTGTAATCCTAGCACTCTGGGAGGTGGAGGCGGGAGGATTGTTTGAGCTCAGGAGTTCGAAACCAGCCTGAGCAAGAGCGAGACCCCGTCTCTACTAAAAATAGAAATTAATCGGACAACTAAAAATATATATAAAAAAAAAATTAGCCGGGCATGGTGGCACATGCCTGTAGTCCCAGCTACTCGGGAGGCTGAGGCAGAAGGATCGCTTGAGCCCAGGAGTGTGAGGTTGCTGTGAGCTAGGCTAACGCCACGGTACTCACTCTAGCCCGGGCAAAAGAGTGAGACTCTGTCTCAAAAAAAAAAAAAAAATATTGACTATTGCATACCAAAGATGTTGCTATGTATGAACTATGGTGAGTATAAAAACACATGGGATAAAATGGTTTATAATTTCAGGGAACTTTCAAATTGTAGAGATAAAACACACATGGATGAGGCTGGGTGCAGTGGGAGGCTGAGGAGGTAGGATCACTAGAAGCCAGGAGTTTGAGACCAGTCTGGGTAACATAGGGAGACCTCATCTCTAGAAAAAATCAGAAAAATTTGGCTGGGCATGGTGGCCTGCACATCTAGTTCCAGCTACTTGGGAGGCTGAAGCAGGAGGATCGCTTGAACCCATAAGTTTGAGGCTGCAGTGACCTATGCATACCTCTACTGCACTGTAGCCTGGGTAACAGAGTAAGACCCCATCTCACAAAAACAAAACAAAACAAAAACACCCAAAAAACATATGTAGATGAAATGATTAGAGAAAAAAATTACAGAATTTACTGGAACACTAAATTGTAAAGATCATAAAAGCAGTGATTAGAAAGGAGAAAAATCCTTATTGGCTTAAGTTTTGTGGAAAAGGTAACCCTGAGAAAATAATTTAGGAATTGGTATACATGAATTGGTATACTAATATGTTTGGAGAGTTTTAAGGTTTATGAGGAGTTTTCACAAGT